GCCAGACAAGGAGGCAGGGACCTTATCCGCTAGGGTGAGACTCAGTCGCTGCGGAGGAGACCAGAGAAGCCGCAAAAGTGACCAGAGGCTTCAGAACACTCGCCCTATAGGAGAAGGTTTAAAACACTGGCCTGGAGAGAACGAGCTGGAGGGGAAACCGAGACTTGCTCTATGGGGCTGTTCTAAAGAGGACGGTGGCCGATGGTTCTGCGTGCCCACGGGAGGTTGGACACGGCTTCATCTGCAGCAAGGGAGTTAGGTTAGATCTGAGAGCCTTGCTCCCCCACAGGGGAGTGAAGCTCTGGAACAGCCTTCCGGGGAGGTGGAAGAATCCCTGTCGCTGGAGGTGTGTAAGGAGAGGTGGGACGAACCCCTGCCAGGTTCACTTGGCCCTGCCGCGCCTGGGGGATGGACTATGTGACGGCCTCCAGGTCACTTCCAGCCCCATATTTGCCCGATTGTTCTTCTCCCACCTTCACTGTGCTTCTCGCTCTTGTCTTGTTCCCTACAGAAATGCTTGGAGGAGAAGCTGGAGATTCTGCAGGGGAAGATCTCTCTGCTGGAGGACCAGCTGGCCAAGCTGCGGGAGGGAGGCATGCAGGAGAAAGGAGAGGTCATGGGGGACATCCTGAAGGTGAGGCTGCTCGCTTGAGTCAGACAAGGAGGATGCAAGCGCAGAGGACTTCAGAGCAATACCCTGCTCTCTTGAGGAAAGCGGAGCACAAGAAGCCTCTGTACCCAGAACCAGCCCGCTAGCCCAGCCGCTAGAGCTGACTGCTCGCACGCTGAAGCGACCCCCAGTCTCTTTGAGGGTTTCTCCATCTCTCAGCAGTGACGAGCAGCCCTTCTGACTTGCCAAGCAGCATTGGCAGGGGGCCGGGCAGGGGAGACCCCCGGTCTCGGAGGCACACTGTAACACTGATGGTGAAGCTACAGTTCTCTCTGGGTGTGACAATGGGCACTGTGAGAGTCCCTTTTTGCATAGTACATATTTCAGAGGGCAGTCGTCCCCGTCTCCCCGCCGTGCTCGCTGGCTGCTGTGGTCTCCAGTCACCAGACCAGCAGTGCTAGGAAAAGTCTCAGCTCCGTAGAGGCAGCTTTGGCTCTGGGGCATGGCCAGGGTGGGGGACCTGGAAACACCCCAGAGCAGAGGTGGGCAAAAGGGCCTGTGCAGGCCGGATCCAGCCCACGGAGGCCCTGCTGGTCCCCTGCCCTCAGTCCAATTAGGGCCTGGGGGTGGGGGAGCGCGTGAAGCCTTCTCCGCTCTGCCCCTGCCCTGTGAGCAGAGCGTGACATTTCAAAGCACCATGTGCTCCTCGCAGGGCGAGAGGAGGCTGCCTGCCCTGGCCCTGCCAGGAGCCTGGCGGCACTTCAAAGTTCTACGTGCTCCTCGCAGGATGGGAGGAGGCTTCCCGTGCTCCCCTGCCCCAGGCCTTAATTGGCCTGGAGGTGGGAGAGCATGCCAAGTCTCTTCCAGGGCATGGGTGCCTAGAGGGAGGAGGGTGGGAAGGGGCTCTCCCATTCCCAGACCAATCATGGTCTGGGGGTGGGTAGCCCCGCCCCTTCCTGTTTAGGCCCCCCCCCTTCCTGCTTAGGCCCCACTCCTCCTGGGGTGGCCCGGAGCCACTTCAAACATTTTTTAAATGGCCCCCGAACAAAAATGTTTGCCCACCCCTGCCCCAGAGCCCGGTAGAGTGACAAGTGGCAGGGGTGAGCGTTCCCTTTCTCTCGGCAGCTTGAAGACTTGAAGCAGGAAGTGAGCAGCCTCTCGGCGAAAGGGAGCGAGCTCCAAGCCACCGTCCTTCGGCTGGAAGAGGAAAAGGGCCTCCTGGAGGCGGCTCTTCAATCCGAACGGAGCCGCTTCGAAGAGGAGAAACTTCAGCTCACAGGCCTCATCGCCAACCTGCAGAGCTCGGTCTCCGAGCTGCGCCTGGCGAAAGAGAAGCTGGAGCAGGACTCCCGAGCGCAGGAGGAGCGACTGAACGCCCAGGTCAACACGCTCACCGCCGAGATCGCGAAGCTGAACGGCTTCCTCCTCCAGCGGGACCAGGAGCTGCTGACGCTTCATCAGCAGGTGGAGGAGGAGAAGCTCCAGAAGGGACAGCTGGCGGAAGATCTCCAGAAGCAAGAGCAGTCCTCCATGGAGACCATCGAAGAGCTGAGCCTGCAAGTGCACCAGCTCAGCGACACCCTGAAGCACAGCGAGGAGAGGCTGGTGCAGATGGAAGCCATGAGCGAAGGGGAAGCCAAACAGCTGGCCTCCTTGAGAGAAGAGCACGCCAAGGCCCTGCAGGAAAGGGAGTCTGCCCTGCAGCAGCTCCGGGAATTCCAGCAGAGACAAGACACGGAGCTGGCAGCCCTGACTGCTCAGCTGCAAACTCTGGAAAAGGCCAGAGCGGCCAGCCAGGCCTCCGCTGTGGAGACACAAAGGGAAAAGGCTGAACTGAGCCAGAGGGTCCAAGAGCTGGACGCCCGAGTCCTGGAACTCACTGCCCAGCACTCACAGAGCGAGGCCCAAGCAGCGGCTGCGGAGTCTCTGAGAGCCCAGGTCCGAGAACTAGAGAACCAGCGGAAAGAGGATCAGCAGAAACTCTCCGACAAGGAGCGGTTGGCCAAGGAAAATGCCCAGCTCCAAGAGCGCCTCCTCTCCATGGAGGAGTCTGCCCGGAACACAGAGGGCATCCTGGAGGATGAGAAGAGGAGAGCTTCGGAGAGCCTCGAAGGGAACCTTAAAAGGATCACTGAGCTGGAGTCCCAAATCCAGCAGCTGGCAGAGGCCCGCAAGCAGGCTCTGGAGGAGGTGGGCGAGGAGCAAGCCAAAAGGCAAGCGCTCACGTTGCAGGTGGAGCAGCTGGGGGACGAATACAGGGCAGAGACGGAGAGGCTGCAACGCCAGCTGGCAGAAATGTCTTCGGCCGCCAGAGAGGGTGCAGGAGAGCGCGAGAGGCTGGAGGAGACGGTCCGCGCTTTGCGTGGAGACCACAAGCAGGCTCGCCGGCAGCTCCAGACGGAGCAGGGCAGGGCGGCGGAGCTAGAAGCACAGATCAAGCGCCTAACCACTGAGCAAGAAGAGAAGCTGGCGCTGCTTCAGACTGACCTCTCCAAGGCCCTCGCGCAGGTCAAGGAGAAGGCGAGCGTGGAGGTAAAACTCAGGGAGGATCTCTCCTCTCTGCAGGAGACGACCGCAGCGTCCCAGCAGGAAGCAGCCCGGCGCATCGCTCAGCTGGAGACGGAGGCGCAGAAGGCGGCCGAGACACTCAACGCTGTCACTCGGGAGCTGGCTGACGAACGGCTCAAGACGACGGCGCTCGAAGCGACGGCGAAGCGTCTGGGAGAACAGAAGCACGAGGAACTGACTGCAACGGAGTCTGACCTCTCCAGAGCAGCGCTGGTCCTGCAGGAGAGAGAGCTGGAAGTGGAGAAACTGTCCGGCGAGGTTAAGCAGTTGAAGGCCAGGCTGGAAGAAGCCCTGCAGAAGCAGAAACAGGAGCTAGCTCTCCGAGACACGGAGCTGGAGGGTCTGACAGGTGAGCTGGAGCGAGCCAAGGCAGACCTGGCAGTGAAGAAAGCCAGCCAGGCGGAGCTGGAAGTCCAGCTGCAGAACTCCATCGACGAGCAAAGAGCCGAGCGTTCTGCCCACCAGCAGGAACTGGCCAGGTCCCTGCAGTTGATCGAGGAGAAGGAAGGGGAGCTGGACGAGCTCCGCCTGAAAAACGTCTCCCGGAACGAGGAGCTGAGGGACCTGCAGAAGACGGTCGTCAAGCTGAAAGGGGAGCTCGCCTCAGTGGAGGCGCTGAAGGAGCGGGCGGCCAAGATGGAGAACGAGCTGCAGGGCTTCCTGGAAGTGGCGCGGACCCGAGAGGCCGAGATTGACAGCATCAAGTCCATCGTGTACTCCAAGGAGATGTCTCTCAAAAGCTTGGAGGAGCAGATCCGACACCGGGAGCAGGAATCCAGCTCCAGCCAAGACCTGGCCCAGGAGAAGGTGAAGGAGAGCGAGATGCTCCACTCGGAAATGGAGAAACTGGAGCAGAAGTGCCGGGAGCAGCAGGACACCATTGCCAGCCTGGAGAAAGCTGCCGCTCAGAGTAAGGCAGCTGCTTTGGAGCATAAGGGAGCGGAGCTGGAGGCCCTGAGGAGAGAAGTGACGCAGCGGAAGCAGAAAGTGATGGAGCTGGAGAAACTCCTGGAAGCCTCTCGATCCGCACAGGCTGGGCAAGACGGCACCGTGGAGGCGCTGAAGAAAGAGCTAATGGAGACGGCGCAGGAGCTGGCCCAGAGCAAAGACTCCATCGCCGCGGTGGAGAAGGAGCTGGTGGCGCTGCGCTCTTCGGCCCAAGAGAAGGGCAAGCTGGAGGAGAGCTGGAAGGACCAGATCTCCCGGTGTTGTCAGGAGGTGGAGCGGAAGAACAGCTTGATCGGCAGCCTGGAGCAGGAAGTCTCCATCCTCCACCTGCAGGTCCTGGAGAAGGAGGGGGAGAGCAAAGAGCTGAAGCGCCTGATCCTGGCGGAGTCGGAGAAGAGCAAGAAGCTGGAGGAGAGGCTGCGGTTGCTCCAGTCGGAGACGGCCAGCGCCGCGTCTCGGGCGGCGGAGAGGTGTGCCATCATGAAGGGCGAAGTGCAGACCTACCAGGAGGAGGTGGAGAAGCAGAGGCTGTCCATAGAGGCCCTGAAGAGGGAGCTGAGCTCCCAAGGGGAACGCCAGGAGGCGCTCCGGCAAGAGGGGAAAGCCTGGCAGGAGAAGTTCTTCCAGAAGGAACAGCTCCTGTCCTCGTTGCAGGTGGAGTTGGCGAAGGCGCAAGCCCTGGCCGGGGAGCTGATGCCCATGAAACGCCTCTACCAGCAGCAGCAGGCCGAGCAGTCCTCCCTGGAGAGCAAACACCGCGAAGAGCTGGAGCAGAGGCAGAAAGCAGCCGGGGCTCTGCAGGCTGAACTTGCCAGAGCCAAGCTGGAACTGGGCGAGCTCCTGTCCCTCAAGGAGAGGTTCTCCGAACAAGACTGCACCGTGCAGCGGCTGCAGGGGGAGAACGCCAGCTACGCGGAGCGGCTCGCCGCGCTCCAGCGGGCCCACGCCCAGCTGCTGGAGGAGAGCCAAGGGCTCCGGGAGAAGTCCAGCCAAGGGCGCCAGAGGTTTGATGCCGAGCTCAGCCAGATGCAGGAGAAGCACAGCCGGGAGCTGGAGGCCCTCCGGGCGGAGTCTGAGAAACTGGTGGCGGGGAGCCGGCGCGAGGCCGACGACGCGGTGAAGAAGCTGGAGGCGATGACCAACAAGTACGAGAACGCCAAGGTCAGGGTGCTGGAGGAGAGGCAGAAGTTCCAGGAGGAGAGGCAGAAGCTGACGACTCAGGTAGGGCACCCGCGAGGCGTTCTCCGTGGCCAGGCTGAAGGGAGAAGGGTAGTGATGGGGAAGGGAAAGTCCTGGAGCGCCCATCAGGGCTCGGATGTGAAGCTGCAAGGGGTAGGGCTGTGTGTCCCAGCACGCTGGGGTCTGCTGTTACAGGCAAACTGTACCCCCGCCCCCAGCTAAGCGAGGCTGTTGGGAGTGGAGAAGGGAAGCCAGTTTCTCTAGACCTGCCGCAAGTGGTGCCCCAGAGGGTTGCTGGGAAACCCCTGAGAGGTGACTGAGGTGGCCGGCTCGCTCTGCTCCGTGGCAGCTTAGCCAGTGACGCTGGCCTGGGAGGCAGCATCTCTGCTCAGGAGAGTCGCTCAGTCCTGCAGCTGGTCGGCAGTAGCACTGAGCGCTTTGCGCCGGTTACGCAAGGGCGAGATTTCAGGGAGAGGGGCCCTTGGCACAGCAAAGCAGTCACTAAGATCGCGGCGCAGCTGGCCCCCTCAGTCTGGCCTGGTGGAATGATCTAGGGGGGCCTGCACCCCACAGGCTGTTTGGGATGTGGGGAGAGAGCTGAGGGCCCACAGCACGGAGAGGGGGGCAGTGTAACCCCCCCACGGCAGAGCCTTAGCAGGGCTGGTGGGCCGGAGGCAGCCTGTTTCTGGGGTACTCACTGGTGCCTCCATCACTCGCCCGGCGTGCAGGTGGAGCAGCTAGAGGTATTGCAGAAGGAGCGCGCGAAGCAGGTAACGCATGCGAAGTGTTGGCTGCTCAAACGGTGACAGTGCATGACTCTAGCTGCTGCCGCCCGCCACAGCCGCCGGCTCCTGTCAACTGTTTGCAGTGAGGGCTCTGGGCCTTCCCAGAGAAACGAGCCACGAGCGGTGGCTGGCTCCCCTGGGTGACACATTCACCCCCAGGGGTCCAGGCCATGAAACCTCACCCAAACCTACCCCGGTAGCAGCCTAGAGCACTGCACGGAACAGCACCGTGCACAGGTCAGCGCGTCTTTCGTTTCCTCCCCTCCCCGTCCCGCCCCGGAACAGCCACCGGCTGCGCCGCGCGGCG